AACATTTGATGGATTTTTTGGTCCAGAGTCTTCTCTTCCATCGATGATATTTGATGGACGCTGATGGTGTGTGTCCTTGTGGTTCCTTTTTTCTATAAGCATATCTAACCAATAAATCTTCTGGTGGATACTTTCTTTCTATAGATATTTTTAATACATTTACCCAGTCCAGATTGGCATAGATTCTTAAGTATGGGTCTATGAATAGGATAACTAAGATTCTTAGGTACCTGAAAATTGAATGCATATTTTGTCTATGGCAATTTTCTCCAGGGAGGATTCATAGCTTTTATCATCCTCCGGACAGCTCCCTTCATCTCTCATGAAACAAGAAGACCCCTGGGGTAGAGTCTGACTAGGGTCTGTTAGTGATTACGGATCCTAAATTGGAAGAATTTTTTTAAATCATAAGGCTAAATCAAAGCCATACAATTTAATTCTTCATAGGAAAGTTTGTGTGGTTTCATGATACATGTTTCATATATGAGCTCTGTGGCAGGAATGCATAAAATTTCATTCTGAGCAAGAAACCTATTCTGTGATTTCTGAGTACAGACATGGCCAACAACACGGTTGATGATTGGTATGTGGGCTATACTGAAGAAATAGAGAAAAAGTCACCCCAGGTGTTAAAAGAACTAGAAGCAAATAAAAAAAATTTTAAACTGAATGTAAAATGGCAGGAAAAACACACACACAGAATAAGTGAATCAGTGATTTCCATGGAATAGCTTTTTTGGCCTAACTTTAGCAGAACTAGAATTCCACCAAAATTCACATAACTTTCGGTTCAAAGCCTTCCATTATTAACTGACAAGAGCTATTGAGCTTCTCAATCCAGAGAAGTGTTACACAATTCATAGAGGCTCTCACACCAGGTGCCTGAATATTCATTACAGTGGGCCATTTGCCTCACATCTTTTTCTCAACAAATAGCTACTCATCCACCTTATTTTAGCGGAGAGAATCCATTCTTTGACATCAGAACCTTCTTAAGAATTTCTATTAAAGAATATGCTTTTCATCCACGTGAAGATGAAGCGCAAATTCCAGGCTACAAATGTTGGAATGTCAACATTTTTAAAAAGATAAAGAGAAATACTACTGAATGTTAACTTTAAAAACAGTAATTTAAAAGTTAACCTTAAATATTATTTTATATGACAGAGTTATGCAAAGAGCTGAGGTCTGAGAAAACCTCAGTGTATTGCTTGCCGATACCAAAGAAATAACCAGAAAGACTGGCTGTGAAAGACTGGCTGTGAAAGACATGGGTTTATTAGGACTTAATGCACACCAGTGGCGGTCGGCTGATAAAGTTTTCTGTGCCTCAGGCTTTCTCAGTACAAGGTTAAATAGAATACAGAAAACAAAAGAAAACAAGGCATGCAGGGGACTTGGGGGGCAAGGGGGGCAAGCTGGCGCAAGAGCTGTGTGAGATCAAAAGGCTAGCTCTGCCCTAGCTGGTTTGACTCAGTGGATAGAGTGTCGATCTGTGGACCAAAGGGTCCCGGGTTCGATTCGGGTCAAGGGCACATACCTCGGTTGCAGGCTTCTCCCGGGCCCTGGTCAGGGTGCGTGCAGGAGGCAACCAATCGATGTGTTTCTTTCATATCGATATTTCTCTCTATCTTTCCCTCTCTCTTCCACTCTCTCTAAAAATCAATGGAAAAATATCCTCAAGTGAGGATTAAAAAAAAGCAAAACAAAAACAAAAACAAAAACCCCCCAAAAACCGCTAGCTGTTTTTCTGCAGTTGTTTATAGTCCAGGCTCACATCTAGAAGCAGTTTCTATTGGGCCGTTTCTTGATTGAGGAGCTGGCCACGCTCCCAACTTCCCACAGTCTGCTTAGAGACGGCCTTCATCATATTCCCACGGGGTGGAGCTTGGGAAGGGGCCATACAGACAGTAATTTCAACTGCTTCTCCAGTGGCTCAGGTGAGCCTGGGACTGTGTTCCGGGTGGGAGTGGTGAGGCCTTCATGAAATAGAAGAAGCCACAGGGCAGAGAACAACAGGTCCTTCAACCAGCTGCTGGAGAGTATTAGATTCCTAAAAAGACAGGACCGATATCCTGGAATAGAGAGCAGCTAGGGCAGTTTCTAGTCCAGCCAAGCTCTCACCCTCCCTGCTGTGCAAAAAGGTCAGAATGATCTGCTGGGCTCCAAGGAACATGTGTTATGGAAAAATACCAGAATGTGTGGCAATGGAAAGTCAGGGGAGTCAGAAGACCTGGTTCCAGGCAGAATGGAATGGCTACTGCGTTAAAACCCGGGCAAATATGCAGGTGCCTGAACTGAAGCAGTGCTGTGGTGACTGAAGGAGGTCAGGGAACTGGTGTTCTCTATGAGTTGTTCTAGGAGAAAGAACCTGAAAGCTGGGTGGAAGGGGAGTATGGTCAGAAAACAAGAGCATGGAGCTCAAGATTTCAAAGGTAGAATCATTAAAAAATTTGATTAGATTCTGGAATATTTCCATGGAAATGTGCTCTGAAATTTCTCTAAAAAATAGAAGCATTTTGCCCGGACAGCGTGGCTCAGTGGTTGAGAGTCAACCTATGAACCAGGAGGTCATGGTTTGATTCCCGGTTGGGGCACATGCTCAGGTTGCAGGCTTGATCCCCAGCATGGGGCGTGCAGGAGGCAGCTGATCAGTAAGTCTCTCTCATCATTGATATTTTTCTCTCTCTCTCTCTCCCTTTCACTTTCTCTCTGAAATCAATTAAAAAAGAGAAGAAGCGTTCTAAAGACAAAAAACACACAACAGATATCAAAGCTTTCAGTTTCAGAAACTATTTTCAGTTCTAGAGGAACTGTGAGTTTTTGCAAGGAGTCTAAAAAATGTCTTTTAAATTCACATCAGGCCTTAATGGAAACAGGTAAGTAGTCCAGCAGAGGAGAGATGCTACCCAACATTTGAATGTAATGATTACCACCAGACACTGGTAAAGAAGCTAGATTTCATCAAGAGTCAGAAAAACAAGTAACATATGAGTAGGACAAATATTTCACAACTTTGGTCAGAGAAAGAATTTGTTGCAAATAATAGGATTTCCATGAGGTCAGAGCCAGAGACACATTCAGGGGTAGAGAGACAAGCACAGAGGGACCCCTATGATGGCCAGAGGCTCTCTAGGCCCCCACAGGAAAGGTCTCTCTTTCAGGGAGCTGCATTCAAGGTGCCAAGTCACTCAGAGCTGAGGACTTACAGCCTGAAGAGCCAAGACCTAGAAGCAGGAGAGACTAAGTTGCGCATCAGGCTTGCCAGCGAAACTATCAGAGACTCTTAGGTTGGAACTTCCAATAGGAAGGACAAGAACCGAAGGACAATGTCCTTGGGATCTTCCAAGATGTTGCAGGAATTCCTGGTAGGTGAGAGGGGTTTCCAGCTGGGAGTCCAGAGGAGTGGACCTGAGAGCCCCTCTGCCTGAATTATTGGTTGAAGTATGTTGCTGGAAAGGTCTAAGAGGCCTATGTTCTCAAACATTTCTTCCCTTCCCAGGTACACGAGAAGGTCCTGTCCTCCTGGTTCACTTTCCTGGACCTGCTGAACAATAGTCCTCACTTGCTTCCTGATTTTACATTGTCTTCAGTGTAGAGTCTATATAAAAGGGAAGGGTGGGGGTCTGACTGCTTCCTTTGTTATGGCAAATATTAGGAGGCATAAGTGGAATCTTTTCCTTGGTTCACAGTTACTGCTTTTTTTTTTTCTACATAGAAATCCAAAGGATCTCTGAGTTGTACTACAAGATTATGTGATCTGTTTTGAGAATTTCCAGCTAATACAGCATATATTGTTTAAATCCTTCAGAGTGATTAACAGCTATATACACTGTCAGCAATAGTATTAAAAATATACATATATAATAATTATAAATATTATAACTCAAAGAAATAAATGATCTATAATAATGTTTCCCCTTATGTGACTTTATTTATTTGCAATTATTATTGTTTTATTTAGGCGCATACTGTTTTACAAGCCTCCCTCTTACTAAAATTCAAAAATATCCCATCCTGTCTAGAAAACTTTAAAACAGCTTTGTAAAAAGTTATCCATCAGAGTCAGGTTAAAGATTGAATTTATGGTGAATAATTAGTAAAGGTAGTTGTGCCAATTCATTTTGCTACCCATGAGTCTGGCTTGAAGTTATATCTGTGGGCTAATAAACATTTTGTACTTATTTACGAAGACTATGTTAAAGTCTCATGATGTTTTTATGAAGATGACCCCACTGATCTTTGATCACTGGGGGCATGTGCATGCACTGGTATTTCTGGAACTAAGAGAATTTGTGCTAAGTTGGGTCCCATTTCTCACCCAGTGAAAGATTGGCAATACTAGCTTATGTGGTCAGCGGAAGACTTGTGATGTATTTAGCCTAACTCAAAGCTATGCATGTAAACAGAGAGGCCTCTGCCATAATCAGTTACAAACACACTTACATACTGAATGCCTTTCAGTGGTTATAAAAAGTTTATGTAAGCGAGACAACCTAATATGAAAGTGGTTAAATTCTTTTCAATTGGTGTCATCTACTAAGCTCTGCCTATGTCCATTGGTGCAAATTGCCAGAGGTTCCCACTAGCAAATAAAACAACCGTACGTATTTTAAAAATCCCAGATAAATAAGTAGTGCTAAAAAAGAATAAAAATTAAATATTAGTTTTGTGGTTAACAGAAATGAACAACCTTTGATAAAATAGTCCCGGTAGGGAAGGAGAAGAGCTTTTGTTCATTTTTTAAATGGCTGCCATGGTGAAACTTCGCCTCTCATAGAAAAAAATTTTAACTATTTTTATTGATTTCAGAGAGGAAGGGAGAGGGAGAGATAGAAACATCAATAATGAGAAAGAACCATTGATTGGCTGCCTCCTGCACGTCCCCTACTGGGGATCAAGCCAGCAACCTGGGCATATGCTCCTGACCAGAATCAAACTTGGGACCCTTCAGTCCACAGGCCAATGCTCTATCCACTGAGCCAAACCAGCTAGGGCTCTCATAGAAATTTACTTTCAGTCTCCTTCAATCGTTTTTTACAAACCAGGTCATTATTCTTTGTGATGGCAGCTGCCACCCTTGTTCGTGGCCCTTGCTTGGTAAACTGATATCCAAATTTAAGGATCCTTGAATTATCCTTGAGCATCTGGGCAAGTTCCATCTCTACAGCTGTTCCCAACTGCTGTCTCTGATTATCGATCTTGATTTCTGTCAAGGTGTCTTTTTCCTCTTAGTGCCTCTACCAGGGCCAGAATCTCAGCTCCAGTTTTTTTTTTTTTTTTTTTTTAAATATATTTTATTGATTTTTTACAGAGAGGAAGGGAGAGAGATAGAGAGTCAGAAACATCAATGAGAGAGAAACATCGATCAGCTGCCTCCTGCACATCTCCTACTGGGGATGTGCCCGCAACCCAGGTACATGCCCTTGACAGGAATCGAACCTGGGACCTTTGAGCCCACAGGCTGACGCTCTATCCACTGAGCCAAACCGGTTTCGGAATCAGCTCCAGTTTTAAAATTGGATTCTATGTTTAGACTTTTCAAGGTCTTGTTTACTTTCAGCTTATCTACAAAAGCAATTGCCACAGGGTCATGTCAAGTTCAGCCAGGCTGAACTTCTTGACATGGGTGTTGGCCTCTAGTAGTGGTTCTCAACCTTCTGGCCCTTTAAATACAGTTCCTCATGTTATGACCCAACTATAAGTTATTTTTGTTGCTACTTCATAACTGTAATGTTGCTACTGTTATAAATCGTAATGTAAATATCTGATATGCAGGATGGTCTTAGGCGACCCCTGTGAAAGGGTCGTTCAACCGCTAAAGAGGTCGCGACCCACAGGTTGAGAACTGCTGCTAGAGCCTTTGCAGATTCCTTCAGGATTGGAATTGGAATGTTCTTAATGTTGTTGAGATTAACTTCTTGGAAGCTGGGATTGTTGGCTTTCATCTGCTGCAGACTTACTTCCACATTTGTGGGGTTGTGTGGTTCCTCATGTACAGGCTTGACCTTTTCACCTTTTTTTAAAAAAAAATATTTTATTGATTTTTTTACAGAGAGGAAGGGAGAGGGATAGAGAGTTTGAAACATCGATCAGCTGCCTCTTGCACACCCGCTCCTGGGGTTGTGCCCGCAAACAAGGTACATGCCCTTGACCAGAATTGAACCTGGGACCCTTCAGTCCACTGAGCCAAACCGGTTAGGGCTGACCTTTTCACCTTTGACCACATTTCTCACAGGCCCTTTGCCACCTTTAGTGTTGGGTGTTTTTTCATCAAACTTTGGTTATTGAGTAAATTGTGTACTCCAAGAACAGCTGCAAGATCGTAGAGTTCAGTGTCGGAGGCACTGGCCAAAGTTTCTTCCAGGTCTGGATCAAGGGTTACTTTGTCTTTACGCATTTCTATGGGGTTTTCTTTGGGGATAAAGACTCTCTCTTTCTTTTCTTCAGTGAAAGGCACAAAGTCTTCCCTGTCTTTCTGTTCCAAAGCCTCCTTCTCCAGGTACATGAGGAGGTGCTCACAGCCAAACGGTCCAGTGGCGGTTTTCTGTGTCTGGTCTTTCTGTTGGAATCCAGCTGGTAGCAGGGCACTCTTGGGATCTAGGTCATCAAGAACATTTGTTGTATTGTACCCCGCGAATCACACAAGGACACCTCAAGAAGTCGAATTAAGGAGTCACATTTATTGCAAATCCAGGACTACGAGGGGGCATTTCGCTCTCCCAAATCTCACAGTGCCCTCCCCAAGCCCACCACCAGATTTATATAGGCAAAGATCACAAAGTTATTGATTACATCCCAGGGTTTGCAATGAGGAACCCAGTTTACAAAAAAAAACAAAACAAAACAAAACAAAACAAAACAAAAAACAGTTTACAGAAGCAGACTTAAGCATGTTAATTATAGTTTTTGGTCTCCGGTCACTGAATCAACGGAAACACATTATCTGGAGCCATCCGGTCTTGGGACCATTGAGTTAACAGGAACACATTATCTAGAGCCATCGAGGCAATTTAGAATAATTGTGCTGTCCTGGTCTTGGGACCACTGAGTCAACAGGAACCCATTATCTGTGGCCACTGAGGCAATTTAGGATAACTGTGCTGTCCTGGTTCCCAGGTACAGAAGAATGTCCTTCAATAGCCAGTATGACCACAACCAATGGGGTATTCACATTACAATCAATAGGGTATTCAATCGAATGGGATGATTTATATAATTCAGAAAATCAAAATAACTTTTCTATTGTTAAACAAAGCAAATAAGTACAGAAGCCAAACAGCAGGGTTAAAGTTAAACTACAGTTTCTACCTGAGATTATTGCTACCACACTTCACATTTTCCAAGTGTTTCAGTTCCTCTTCTGAGAGTTTTCCAAAAAGCTCATCTTCATCAATGTTCTTATATTTCTCCAAGTCTTTTCGAAAAGGGAGTGCCATGGTTTCTTAGATGTCTTTCTCTTGGGCAGCGCACATTTAAATGGGCCAGCTTCCTGAGACTTCAGAATGCCTTTGTGCCCCCATCCCTGAACCGGAGGTGGGAGTCGTCAGTTGGTCAGCTCCCAAATATAGCAGGGCCAGGATCAGGGCCCCTTTCTGTTACTTTAGAGAATCCTATAGGCTGTGTTAGTTCTTGGGTAGGGTTTTCCTGACTTATCTAATCCTTTAGCTGTACATGGTAGTAACAGCTCCTGTGGAAGGCTTTTCATGGCTTTTCTTGATGCCCTGAATGACCAGGTAAAACTCTGAAAATCATCCCAGACCAGGATGTACTGACGACCTCTGTACTCTTGACATTTTGAGTTGGGTAATTCTTTATTGTGGGGAGCTGCCTTGTGTAGTGTAGGACATTTGGCAGTAATCCTGGTCTCTACCCACTAGATGCCAGTAGCACCCCAACTCCAGTTGCGACAAATGTCTCCAGACATTGCCAAATGTCCTCTGTTGGGCAAAATCGCCCATCAGGCTTGCCAGTGCAACAATCTGAGATTATTGAGAACCTACCTTAGACAAATCCACCTCCTTGCTCCTGGACACCTAACTCGTCATCAAGTCCTGTTGACTATACCTTCTTGAATTATCTCTCAAATCTAGTCCCTCTGTTCAGTCTCCACTGTTCCTGGTCTCCTAAGGAAATGCACAGGGGTGTTCTACTGTTTGGATGGAACAGCCCTAGAGCACGGTATGATCTGAGGCCGAGGCTGCAGTAGCTGATGGCAGCCATGGGGTGATATCCATTCAATACCAACTCTGGAACCTAGGAGTGCACCCAGGGCCAGGACACAGCTTTAGGAGGAACTGGGTGGAACTTAGCCCAGGCCAAGTCAATAACACTATGCACCTTCTATGTAGGCGTACCTGCTGTGCACCAGGCACTGCAGAAAGTGCTTACCCCTAACAAGAACAATCATAGTTAACCTTAATTGAGCATTTACTCTATGCCAGTCATTGGGTTCTGTACACTGTATAGATTATCTCTTTGAATTCTCACAAGAATCCCATAAAAATAGATATATTCATTTATTTATTATCCCGTGATATAGATTAGAAAACAGACTCAGAGAAGTTAAGAAACTTGAAAATATTCACATTTAATTCTTCCCCAAATGTTCAATAAATCCATTTAACTACTAAGTACCTACTTGGTGTCACTTATGCACTCTAGTAGGTGTGAGGTAATATTATCAACCCAATATTATGGAAGAGAAAGCAGATCTCAGAATGTGAGGGTTGTAGTCCAAGTTTGCACAGTTTGCCAAGTCACTATTTTAATTCATAATTACCCCTCTGATTCTAGCACCTTCCACTGCATCCATATTAGAACACAGAGAGAGGGACCCCTAAGCTGTGCCTCCTCCCAACCTGTCTGCTCTGCTGGTCTTCTACACAATAAGATCCTCTCATGCATCTACTGTGGGTCAGGCATTGTTCTGGGCATTTGAAGGTGATAAAGACAGACCCAGGCCTGGCTTTCATGGAGGCTACAGCAAAAGGGGAGAGGGATGGCAGGAAAGACAGTTGTTTAAAAAACTTATTCCATAAATCATTAAGTACAGTTGTGCTCAATGCTAAAAAAAAATAGGAAGTTGTGAAGAAGCCAGCCTTGCATAGGAGCTCAGGGTGGCTTCCTGTGAAGAGAAATTAAGGCTGATAGTAGAAGACTGAATAGCAGTTAATAGAGCAGTGAGTCAGTGAGTCTATTGGAATGAAAAGGCCTGGAGGCTGGGAAACAACTTGGCATTAACGGTCAGAAAGCGGAAGGGTAGTAAAGTAAGGATAAATAACAAAATCCTGAATCACAGAGATAACCACAAAGTGATCATGTGCCTTGTCCTAACTGCTTTTGGTTACAAGCATGGACTCTGGAACCAGAGAACCTGGGATTGAATTCTAGCCTCTGCGCCCATGTATTGATTGTGTGACATTGGGCAAGTCCCACCTTCTCTGTGCCTCTGTCTGTTTGTTTGGTTTTTAATCCTCACCTGAGGATATGTTTATTGATGAGAGAGAAACACTGATGTGAGAGACAGAGGATCGAACCCAAAACCTAGGTATATGCCCTGACTGGGAATCGAACTGGAAACCTTTTGGTGTACAGGATGACAGTCCAACCAATTAGCCAGGGCTCTGAGCCTCTATTTTGTCATCTATGAAATGGGAGCAAAAATTGCCCCTATCCTTTAAGACTGTATGAGGATCAAAAGAGTTGATACAAGTAAAGCTATTAGGAGAGCACCAGGTAAACAGCAACTGCTACTCTTATTATTACTCTGGTACATAAAAATGTATACCCTACTCACTTCACTTTCAAGTAAGCATCTCTCTAAGACATTAAAACTCCCCCCCCCACCCCTTTTTTTTCCTGTTCCAGTCAATGAAAGGGAAACTTCATTGAGGCCCCAGGGTCTCAGGGTTCAGGCAGAAAGCTGTCCTGAGGGGCCAAGAAGGTGGTAGAGGGGCCTTATTTGATCTTCTTGAGGCACAGATTGTTGGTGTAGCCCCAAGAAGACAGTGCTGGTGGGGGGAGGGTGTGTCAGATCATGTTATCACAGTTGCACTTCTCAGTGAGCTAGCAGAGGGAGGGCTCCATGATGCCACCACATGCAGGGTGGGCTCTTTCTGAATAGTGTAGTCTGAGAGAGTGCGGCCATCTTCCAGCTCTTTGCTCATAAAAATCAGACTCTGCTGGTCAAACAGAATGCCCTCCCTATCTTGGGTTTTATCTTTGACACTCAATGGTGTCACTGGCTCCACCTTGAGGGTGATGGTCTTGCCAGTCAAGGTCTTCACAAAGATCTTCAGCTCTGCCTCTGCTGGAGAGGCTGCTCCATTGCCTCATCGAAGAGAAAGAGGACCAAAGCTTATTTATAAATGTACATTGTGGCCTCTCTGGTGTGATTCAGTGGTTGAGCACCGACCCATGAATCATGAACCAGGTCACGGTTCAATTCCTGGTCAGGGCACACATCCGGGTTTCTGAAATAAGCCACTCTCTTCTGATAGAATAGCTTTGATAGAGCAAGGCCAGAGATAAAGATTCTTTTTCAGTGGATAAGAGTACTGGGAATGAAGGATGGTGCAAAGAATCCCGCCAAGATATCTGAGCCCTTGTCACACGCGGGCCTAATGTGGCTGATGTTACATCTATCCCATTTGAAGAAGTCACCCTTGAGCCCAATCTTTCTCTTCTAGCTCTCTCTTGGAAAGAGAAGTTGAGATCCATGCAGCTGAGTTAGGACTAGGGATAGCCATTAACTTGTACTGACCCTCATGGAAACATATCCGCATTTTTACCACATACATAAACAGTATTACTCCTAATTGTGGAGAAGGCAAGATTTTTCATTTGTCCTTGACAACTTTTAAGAAAGCTGGAGTGGGAGCCTGGCTGGCGAGGCTCAGTGGTTGAGCTTCACACTATGAACCAGGAGGTCACGGTTCGATTCCTGATCAGGGCACATGCCCGGGTTGTGGGCTCAAGCCCCAGTAGGGGGATTGCAAGAGGCAGCCGATCAATGATACTCTCTCATCATTGATGTTTCGCTCTCTCTTCCTCTTTGAAATCAATAAAAAATTTATTATAAAAAAAAAAGAAAGTGACCAGATCCAAGATGGTGGCCAGCAGGAGGAGATGAGGGAGCTTGAAGAAATCTGCAAATGTGGAATGAAAAACTTCAGTAACATCCAGGTTGATAAAACTAATTTATTAACTTGGCAAGGGCTTATTGTTCCTGACAACCCTCCATATGATAAGGGGGCCTTCAGAATGGAAATCAACTTTCCAGCAGAATACCCATTCAAAGCACTGAAGATACATTTAAAACAAAGATCTATCACCCCAACATCGATGAAAAGGGACAGGTCTGTCTGCCGGTAATTAGTGCTGAAAACTGGAAGTCAGCAACGAAAACCAAGTAATCCAGTCTCTCATAGCACTGGTGAATGACCCCCAGCCTGAGCACCCCGTTCGGGCTGACCTAGCTGAAGAATACTCTAAGGACCGTAAAAAATTCTGTAAGAATGCTGAAGCGTTTGTAAAGAAATATGCGGAAAAGCGACCTGTGGACTAAAATCTGACACGATTGATTCCAGCGAGTGTGAGCAGAGACCCTGGGCACTGCATTCACAAACCCCGCAAAGCAGGACTCTGTGGAAAATTGCCACAGGCCACCTGGCATTTGCTTGAGGCAGTTACTAACTTACTACAGTTTTCTTATTCAAAAGTGGTCTTAGGTAACCCGTAATGAAAGGATTAAAAATTTAAGATGTTCTAAAAAAAAAAAAAAAAAGGACAGAAAGCTGCAGTGGGGAGAGGGGAGATATCAGGCATGATTGACTTTAGCCACTTGAGTTTTTAAGTGTCATTTTTTCCCCCCCTCACATTGAGGTGGGGCAGTCTGTTCCTAAAGCCTGCACAGGGTTCTGGGCCAAAAAAAACAACAACAACCAAAAAACCCAACCCAACAGACAACAAATCACAAATCTAATTTGAAACTGAAAGCATATCTCTTCCCAAAATAAAAAGGCCAGAGCACTGCCTTCTCAGGCACTTCTATCAAAGACGGACCAGGACCAAGGATCTCCAGGAAATCAGGTACCTGATAACTCGGTTCTGTTCTCTGAAGGGGAAGGGTCTCTGAGTGTGAGGACCCCAGGAGGGCCCCTGAGGAGAGACTGGTGTTTGGATGGGACTGGAAGAATATCTGAAGCCAGAGGTGATTGCTATAATGGCAGTTATTCCAAGAGCCAAAGCCACAAAGTCAGTTCTGTGTAAGAAACATTCTAGGTAGGGAGGTGAGGTCAGACCTGGCAAATAGGGAACCATATGGAAGGACAGACATGCTGTCTATCCTTCCCTCTTAAATTTAAAACCTTAATCTTAGATTGTGCAATTTATATCCCAGAATCCTGAGGCAGTACTGTTGGTCCCTGTGTCTCATGGTCCCTTGTG